GTGAACTAAACTACACACAATACGGTAAAGACGTTTACACTGGCAGCGTTGTCAGCAAAGCGATTTTTTGGATGCGTTTCACATGGCAGCGATATGGGTAAAACGTATTTTTCGAACACGACGGTTTTCGACTTCAGCCGGGTGGCAACGAAGGAGCGCCGTCCGCATCGCCCAGAGCCCGGGGCCACGGGGAGGGGGAGGGTGCGGGACGCAAGCGCGGGCGGCGGCGGAGGCGGAGGCGCGGGTGCAGGGGCGCGGCCGGCGGTCGCCGTGCGCCGTGCGCCGGTGCGTTCCCACCAATAAATAAAAGTAGTTGAAATTGTGCAGTCCCCTGCTTCTTTAATTAGCCCGTGCCCAAGGTGAACAGGTAGCGCGTGGGGCGTCAGGGCGGCGAGAGTGGCTGCTGCGCGCGCGCGCACTCGTAGCCCCTGGCGCCGCCGCCACCACTACCACCAACACCACCACCACCACATCGGCGCCGGCGCTGCCTCGGACGCCGCGGAATGATGTGAACATGTACACCCCGTTTACAGGCTTCCTTTCGATGAACGATTCCGGATTTGCCTTTGGAATGCCACAAGCGACAGCGCGCACACGCGCGTTGGCTAAAACTCAAAAGGAAGGGTGTAAATCGGGTCTAACAGTAATTGGCAAGTGGAGCACAGCACATGGGAATGAAGTTGCTGCGAGAGGAGGAATGAGAGATGAAGAGTCGCCAAGCATTGCCTGTGTTACCTCACAACCGGCGTGATATTATTTATGAGAAAGATCATTTGTGAATATCAAAATAATATGATGTAACCGCATCATCTGCTTTAAGTCTATGGGACTAAGTATCTACGCATCATACTGCGAGATCTATTCCGTCAAAAAATCCAGTGCCTTTCCCCCAAAAAACAAAATTAAAAGACTATCAAATGGATACAGTCAAGTGTGTATGCGGACAAACTGAAGCAAAAAGGAGCATACGCTACCTCCCTTAAGATCCAGCACGAGCTAAATCTGTTCTTTCTTGTTCAATGTTGAAACAATCAAACAAATGCATAAGAAACGCAGCGCACGCCAACTATCATTTTGTAGATCTACGATTTTGAACCCGAAATCTTATTTCGAAAATCAAGGCATTCCTTGAAAGATCAGATTTCTAATTCATCCACGAGATTTTCGGGTTGAGAATCTCACTCACGCCTGAGTGCAGGGATCCCAACAGCGTTATGAGGGCTTCTTAGCGCGTAGATTGGAAAGGCGCGAGGAGGGGTC